TACCTGTGTGAGGGCACCACCAACCTACTGTGTGAGGGCACCACCAACCTACTGTGTGAGGGCAGCAACAACCTACCGTGTGAGGGCAGCACCAACCTACCTGTGTGAGGGAAACACCAACCTACATGTAGGAGAGCACTACCAACCTACTGTGTGAGGGCAGCAACAACCTAATGTGTGAGGGCAGCACCAACCTACCTGTGTGAGGGAAACACCAACCTACATGTAGGAGAGCACTACCAACCTACTGTGTGAGGTCACCACCAACCTACTCTACTGTGTGAGGGCAGCACCAACCTACTGTATTAGGGCACCACCAACCTACTGTGTGAAGCACCACCAACCTACTGTGTGAGGGCACCACCAACCTACTGTGTGAGGGCACCACCAACCTACTCTACTGTGTAAGGGCGCCACCAACCTACTGTGTGAGGGCACCACCAACCTACTCTACTGTGTGAGGGCGCCACCAACCTACTGTGTGAGGGCACCACCAACCTACTGTGTGAGGGCACCACCAACCTACTCTACTGTGTGAGGGCACCACCAATCTACTGTGTGAGGGCACCACCAACCTACTCTACTGTGTGAGGGCACCACCAACCTACTGTGTGAGGGCATCACCAACCTACTCTACTGTGTGAGGGCACCACCAACCTACTGTGTGAGGGCACCACCAACCTACTCTACTGTGTGAGGGCACCACCAACCTACTGTGTGAGGGCACCACCAACCTACTGTGTAAGGGCACCACCAACCTACTGTGTGAGGGCACCATCAACCTATTGTGTGAGGGCACCACCAACCTACTCTACTGTGTGAGGGCACCACCAACCTATTGTGTGAGGGCACCACCAACCTACTGTGTGAGGGCACCATCAACCTATTGTGTGAGGGCACCACCAACCTACTCTACTGTGTGAGGGCACCACCAACCTACTCTGTGAGGGCACCACCAACCTACTGTGTGAGGGCACCATCAACCTATTGTGTGAGGGCACCACCAACCTACTGTGTGAGGGCACCATCAACCTACTGTGTGGGGGCACTACCAACCTACCTATGTGAGGGCACCACCAACCTACTCTACTGTGTGAGGGCACCACCAACCTACTGTGTGAGGGCACCACCAACCTACTCTACTGTGTGAGGGCACCACCAACCTACTGTGTGAGGGCACCATCAACCTATTGTGTGAGGGCACCACCAACCTACTCTACTGTGTGAGGGCACCACCAACCTACTCTGTGAGGGCACCACCAACCTACTGTGTGAGGGCACCATCAACCTATTGTGTGAGGGCACCACCAACCTACTCTACTGTGTGAGGGCACCACCAACCTACTGTGTGAGTGCACCACCAACCTACTGTGTGAGGGCACCACCAACCTACTGTGTGAGTGCACCACCAACCTACTGTGTGAGGGCACCACCAACCTACCTGTGTGAGGGCACCACCAACCTACCTGTGTGAGGGCATCACCAACCTACTGTGTGAGGACACCACCAACCTACTGTGTGAGGACACCACCAACCTACCTGTGTGAGGGCACCACCAACCTACCTGTGTGAGGGCATCACCAACCTACTGTGTGAGGACACCACCAACCTACTGTGTGAGGACACCACCAACCTACCTGTGTGAGGGAAACACCAACCTACATGTAGGAGAGCACTACCAACCTACCTGTAAGGTCACCACACACCTACTGTGTGAGGGCACCACCAACCTACTGTGTGAGGGAAACACCAACCTACATGTAGGAGAGCACCACCAACCTACTGTGTGAGGGCACCAACAACCTATGTGTGGTCTGCCTTTACCAATTACATTAAGACACCAAAGAATTTGATGAAGATATTTTAATTTGTTTGAATGCTAATCTACAAATTTATTTTTTACTGTAATGACTTTGGACTAAGTCTCCTTGACATGGGCTAATGTAATGCAATCAAATGGGCTATATCAAATGTTATGACATGGCTTTATATAATGTAATAATTTTTATTGTATTGACATTGGCTACATATAATAATGTTGACTACAGCTACTGCATTACCATTGCTAAATCTAGAGTAGTTACAGAGGCTAACTCTAATGTAATGACAGTGGCTAACTCTAATGTAATGACAGGGGCTAAATCTAATGTAGTGACAGTGACTTACTCTAATGTAATGACAGTGACTAACTCTAATGTAATGACAGAGGCTAACTCTAATGTAATGACATGGGCTAACTCTAATGTAATGACAGGGGCTAAATCTAATGTAATGACAGTGACTAACTCTAATGTAATGACAGTGACTAACTCTAATGTAATGACAGTGACTAACTCTAATGTAATGACAGTGACTAACTCTAATGTAATGACAGTGGCTAACTCTAATGTAATGACAGGGGCTAAATCTAATGTATGACAGGGGCTAAATCTAATGTAGTGACAGTGACTTACTCTAATGTAATGACAGTGACTAACTCTAATGTAATGACAGAGGCTAACTCTAATGTAATGACATGGGCTAACTCTAATGTAATGACAGGGGCTAAATCTAATGTAATGACAGTGACTAACTCTAATGTAATGACAGTGACTAACTCTAATGTAATGACATGGGCTAACTCTGATGTAATGACAGTGGCTAACTTGACTTCATCCACATACACCGGGATGCCCTGCGATAACGTGAGCTACTCATATATTTATTATCGTAACTTTCTTTACGCTCTTTTTAACATGATGAATATAAAATAACTAAGGACATTTTTACAACATCTGTAATACAAAAGATGCAAATGCTTTGCTGATAAAAATAAAATAACAAACTTTACGGTACACTAGCACACACACTGATTTATACACACAAACACACACTCTCAGAAACACCCACTGACACACATACCAATCTGTGTTAGTTTTTTTTTTTTAGCTAGGTGAGAATGTGTGGAATGTCTACAGAAAATATTAAAAAAGATTAAGTGTAATGGTAGAGGGGCAAGATATTTTTTAAGCGTTAGCAAAGGTGGGGGATTAATGGGGGAGGGTGTGAAATAGAGGGATAGAATGGGGGTTTAGAGGTTGTCAAAGGATGGGTGAGTGTTTATGGAGGAATAAGATGGGGGACGGGGAGGGGGGACAGGGGGTAGAGGAGGGGACAGGGGGGGTATGGGGAGGGGACGGGTGGGGGACAGGGGGGGGGGGTACGGGGGGAGGGGACGGGTGGGGTACGGGGAGGGGACAGGGGGGTACGGGGAGGGGACAGGGGGGGGGGTACGGGGAGGGGACAGGGGGGGGGACGGGGAGGGGACGGGTGGGGGACAGGGAGGGGACGGGTGGGAGACAGGGGGGGGCGGTACGGGGAGGGGACGGGTGGGAGACAGGGGGGGGGGTACGGGGAGGGGACAGGAGGGGGTACGGGGAGGGGACAGGGGGGGGGGGTACGGGGAGGGGACGGGTGGGGGACAGGGGGGGGTAAGGGGAGGAGACGGAAGGGGGACAGGGGGGGGTAAGGGGAGGAGACGGAAGGGGGACAGGGGGGGGGTAAGGGGAGGAGACGGAAGGGGGACAGGGGGGGTAAGGGGAGGAGACGGGGAGGGGACGGAGGGGGGACAGGGGGAGGGGGTACGGGGAGGGGACGGGGGGGGGACAGGGGGGAGGGGTTAGGGGAGGGGACGGGGGGGGGACAGGGGGGAGGGGGTACGGGGAGGGGACGGGGGGGAGACAGGGGGGAGGGGGTACGGGGAGGGGACGGGGGGGGGACAGGGGGGAGGGGGTACGGGGAGGGGACGGGGGGGGGACAGGGGGGAGGGGGGGAGGGGGTACGGGGAGGGGACGGGGGGGGGACAGGGGGGAGGGGGTACGGGGAGGGGACGGGTGGGGGACAGGGGGGAGTGGGTTAGACGGGGTAGTGGAACAAGGAATGGACCACATGAACTCGCAGATGGTCGGTTCTCGATCTTGTTTATGTTCTGTCTTAACGTCAACGTTTACTTTTTTAATTTTACTAAGCGAACATTTTGTGACTAAACATTTTACAGATGTAATAATCTTGTTTTCATATCTAAATCATTTTTTTCTATTTTGAATTAGTGGAAAACGAATCAATTCCATTTAACAGCAACGTATCATAAGCGTGTATGCTATAACTTAATAACTTAAATCATACACGTAAAATAAAATGGGAATCTCCGAAAATAGTTACTCTTTCCTTTACAATATTACCAGTTTCATTTTTGTTTTAGTTCTACTAATATTTTTATATTTAAAGATATATTTGATTATAATCATACTTTAGCACACATAATTAAAAAATAGGAAAATGTTTAAAAGTATGGTTATAATAAATTATATCTTTAAATGTCATCTTTTAATCTATTTTTAGAAATTATTTTAATGACACAAAATACTGGGAATCCCCGAAGAATATGTGGGTTTTTTTTTTAATTGCTATACTTCTAGGTTTTGATTTCGGTTTTATGTTGGATATCTACTGTTAGTGTTCAGGAGTGAAGTTGCCTTTTATTATTTTCACAGTGTATCAAAGATTATTGTTGAAATTTGCATTGACAGGAGGTATAGATGTAAGTTTTATGTTGGATATCTACTGTTAGTGTTCAGGAGTGAAGTTGCCTTTTATTATTTTCACAGTGTATCAAAGATTATTGTTGAAATTTGCATTGACAGGAGGTATAGATGTAAGTAAATTGGGTTCAAGTTGTAAAAGTCTACATTGGACTATTTTAAGACACAATGTTACGGTAAAATTTCAGAATATTTTTACTGATGTGTACTTTTTATTTCGTGGGATAATGTAAGTGAAGAATTTATAACCTTTTTGTATGGCTGTATGTGTATAATGTTTGTAATTTCCTTTTGTAAAGCTATTTGGAAATATTTTGGGTATAATATTCTATAATTTTTTTATTTATTTTAAAAGTTGGCTGTGTGTAATATATTATAATACTATACATTCGCAATTAAATTAATCCCCAGAAGAAAAAAAAATCGATGTTTGGGTACTCCTAAAAATATTACTGCTTGCAACTTACGATTTCTCAACAATGGAACTGTTGCCTAATTTAAACCAACAAGGAAAAGTAATTCCGTGTATAAGTGACGGTAATTTTATTGACGAAAGTGGTCTTTTTAATGTAAATATACGTGGAGACTTTTTCATGCCCAAGCAACTATACCATGTCATGAATGGTGATATCGATAAGGTAATACAAAACATTTTAAACACACTACAAATAGACGTCACCTCTATGTTCGGTGTCACAGAACTTATGTTAGCAGCTGAATGTGGACACACAGAAATTCTAAAGTCTCTGCTCAAATACGGCGCAGACATGAACAGGTCCGAGTGTCAAGGTTGGACGGCTCTGATGTTTGCATCCAGACACGGTAACCATGGCAACGTGGAACGCCTGATCAGGAAGGGAGCAGATGTGGAGTACGCTACAGTTAACGGGGTCAACGCTTTGCTGGTGGCGGCCGAGCATGGGAAGGTCAAGGTCGTGCGTACCCTGCTGGAGCACGGCGCCAAACTTGACTGTATCAGACTTGACCAGTGGACTGTACTGATGGCAGCGGTCAGCTCTGGAAACTCTGCCCTGGTTCAAATGTTGCTGGGGAAAGACGTGGAGGTCAATGAGGAAACGATTGATGGCGTCACAGCGTTGATGGTGGCGGCTTATTTTAGCGGCATGGCTGTGAAACCCAATGGTCGTTTGGTGGTAAAAAATTCTGGTCCATTAGACATAATGCATCAGCTGATCAAACATGGCGCAGACGTGACGCTACAGGACAGCAAAAGATGGACGGCGCTGATGTACGCCTCGCAAGCTGGAGAGATTGAAGCTGTGGAGCTGTTGCTGGGTGCAGGAGCTGATGTTGAGCAGATGGATGACGACGGCAACACAGCTCTGATGGTAGCCGCGTCCAACGGTCACGTGCAAGTCTGCGCCGCCCTCGTCATGTCAGGGGCGGAGGTCAACGCCTGCAACAACCAAGGGGTGACGCCCCTGATGTTTGCTGCTGGTAGAGGCGATGATCCAACAGTTTTATTACTGCTAGATAACGGTGCAGATGTGAACCAAGCAGATGATGAGGGAAACACCGCCTTGATGTTCGCGAACCACCTAAACGTTCTGGGTACTTTAATTGACAGGGGCGCCGACATGGATCAGGCAGATAATGATGGGTGGACGCCCCTGTTGTTGGCGGCTAGGTCTGGCAACAAACAAAACCTAACCTTTCTGTTAGACCGCGGGGTTTGTGTAAACCAGCCTCATATGAAAGGGTTTACTCCAGTAATGGCGGCGGTGTATTCTGGACGGAAAGAAATAGCCAACTACTTAATAGATCGTGGTGCAGATATACAGTCCAGAGATGGCCAAGGTTTTTCGTCTTTGATGTACGCGTCACTGCAAGGTGACTCGCACATTGTAGAGATGTTGATAAACAATGGCGTCAGTGTCAACATGGCGTCTAAAGACGGCGTCACAGCGCTAATGTGTGCCGCTATCTCTTCATTAGACAACAATATCGAGATTTTAATCAGACACGGGGCTAAAGTTGACAAGACAACCAAAGATGGCGTCACGGCTCTCATGTTCGCCACTGGTGGAGTCAATGTCTCTTCTGTGCAGAAACTTCTGGATCACGGAAGTGACGTCAATCGCTTGTCGAACAACCGGCAGACGGCGATAATGATGGCGGCAAAACACGGAGCACCGTTACAAATTCTCGAGCTGTTAATCCAACATGGCGCAGACGTTAAAATTTCAGACGACAATGGCTTGACAGTCTTAATGTACGCTGCAAATGATTCTGTAGAACAGCTGCAAAAAGAAAATAAAGAGATTGAAAACTTGGACCCACTGTTGGTGTCTTTTCAGACGCGTACAAGCAAGGAGATGTGCAAAGTGTTGGTTGTTTTACTTGACGCTGGGGCTGATGCTGATGCGTGTGATGAGAACGGAGAGACCGCTCTGATGCAGGCCGTGAAGGGAGGCAACAAACAGCACGTGCTGGTCTTACTGTCACGTGGTGCTGACGTCAACACCGTCTCTCGAAATGGACGCACGGCTCTGATGATGGCAGCAGAGAACGGACGGAAGGATTTCCTGCAGCTCTTGTTGTCTAGACGTGCGGACGTGAACTTGAGAGACGAGACCGGACACACGGCGCTGATGTACGCTGCAAGCAATGGCCATGTTGATAGCGTCAAGTTGTTGTTAGACCAAAAGGCAAAGATAGATGACGTCAATGTTGATGGTCAGACGGCGTTAATGCTGGCAGCCCAGAGTGGCCACAATAAATGTCTGGTTGCCTTGGTTACCAGAGGTGCTGACCAACATATCGTTGACCAACACGGCTGGACAGCACTGTTGTTGGCTGTTAAAGATGATAACAAAGAAAATATCAATTTCCTGTTAGAGAAGGGCGGCGATGTGAATCACGTGACCAATGATGGGAAGACAACTCTACTGATTGCAGCAGACGGAGGGTCACCTGAGGTCGTTGAACTTTTGATCAAACATGGCGCTAACCTAAACCACGCTGATAACCAGGGATACACGGCTTTAATGGCGGCATCCACACATATCAACCTTGAGCTCGTGAAACGATTGGTTGAATGTGGATGTCACGTGAACCAATCAGCAGACGGCGTGGTCACTGCCCTGATGGTTAGCGCGGCAAACGGAAATGTTTCCATTGCCAGATTTTTAATCAGACGTGGCGCTGACGTCAACAGTGAAGATTCGAATGGATGGAGCCCGTTGATGCATGCTGTTAGACAAGGCGATGTTGACGTTATCAAACTTTTGCTAGATAATGACGGTAATGTCAATCACATTGCTCAAGGTGGGTTCACCTCCCTGATGATAGCAGCCGAGAGTGCCAGTAAGGAAGTTGTCTCTTATTTGATCAAACGTAGAGCAGACGTCTACATGAAAGACAACGAAGGCTGGAATGCTGCCATGTTCGCAGCCAAGAACAGCAACTCTAATGTGTTACGATTATTTGAGAATATATGATGTGTCTCAAGCTGGTCAAAAGGCTGTGTTTCTTACAGACTTTTTTCTCCAGGGAACTAAAATTTCCAAGGGGGGGGGGGGGGGGCAGACACTGATAATAGTATATATTTTCTTTATTTCTTTATTTCGTTCTGGGGTAGGAGAGGGGGGGGGGGGGTAGATGCGAAAGATGTCTGGATAAAAATCTGCAACAAAGTTAGATCTGTTTCTTCTCAGCTTCTCATTTGTTGAGGCATAAAACAGATTCACAATTCACATATTCAACAAATACATATACAAACATAGGAACTAAACGCAACCTTTTTTAAATTACTTTTGTCTATACATGCCATTGTTTAAACATCTTGACTTTATGTTTTATGGTGGATTCTGATATCTTTATCCTAATTAATATAATGTTTTTTTATATTAAAAATGTGTGTTATAGTGTAAGATAATGTACATTTCATTTGTTCAGTTATTAGTGATGTCTCAATATTATGTGTGACTGTATTTAATCGTATACTACTGAAATGCTTCGTAAGTGAAGGGTAAAAGTTTCCTATAAATATTTGAATTTGTGTTAATTTCAGCAGTGTTATCTGTTATTAATTATATACGCTATTTGTGCTACTTTTGAAACTGAATATAAAATCAAAACATTCTATTGTTGTGTATTTTTGTAAATGGCAAATAAATTCTCTAAAAACATTTTTTTTAAAGTTTTATTAAAATTGGGTCGTAGTGTTGTCTTTTATTTTTCGATCTATTTAATAAAGTGAGTAATCTCAAGCTTTATTAAAGTGTTGATTACAATCAGACATTCTTTCGTTAATCTGCTCCAAAGTGTGTATGCCTTCATACTGTATTAAAAAGTGTAATATTTCCTCATTCTATCTAAAATCTCTAAATTAGAGTTATCGCTGGTCTGTTGGATTATGCCTGTGGTATACTGAACTTCAATTCTAGCTTAAGCTTTCCTCATCTGCCTTTCTCTGGAGCTTAAATTTTTCTGTTTCTGCTTTTAACTGTCTTTCATCTGCTTCTGTCTGTCTTTCATACGCATCTTTGTCTGCTTCTCTCTGAAACTGCATTTTCTCTTTTTCCCAATTTCTATCTGCCACCCTTTGTCTCTGCTTTCTTTTTATCAGCTTTCTCGGCTTTTGACTCTTCAAGCAGATTGTTTGCAAATGCCAACCTAACTTCTTTCTTAATGTCTAGCTACTTCGCTAGTTCTAGATATTTCGCCGAACTTCTAGATAATTCCAGATAAGTTATACTGTGACATTTCTACTGCTACATCCACTTTAGGATAGAATCTGTTTTTTAATCAGGAAACAGTTATAAATGATAAATTAAAAAAAAACGTTAGGGCTATATCCTCTAGATAATTTAAATACACTTTTCTTGAATACTTGTGCAGCTAAATCCAGTTTAAAATAATACATTTTAAGATGTAACAAATAATTTTACAAACGATCTATATTCGACGTTGACTGGAACATTTCCAAAAACAAGTTAATTAAAAAGTCTAGTGACATTTAAGCGCAATTTCCTTCTGTTATCTAAAAATAGCTCTGTCGTAGCGTAAATCAAGAGCAGGGTTAGTAAAACCATTGGTTAGTTATTAAAACGTTTTTTATTAATTTTTTTTTCAGTATTTTACATGTTTTATTTACAATAGAGTTACATGACTAAAAACCATAGCGCCAAGCTACCGAACGTGATGTCGCAGCCATTGAACGTGATGGCGCAGCTATTGAACGTGATGACGCGTGTGGTGTGGTTGGATAAAAATGCCTACTAATTCGGTCCAAATTTTAATTAATTCAAAAAAATTTTTGTGACCGAACGAAAGGATATTTTTGAAAACTTTATTCGGCAATATTGTTCTAAATTATGGCAGAAATCGATTGGTACATGTTTCAAGTCGCTAAGTGGTCTGGTTGATATGGGCCAAAAAACTGCATTTTTTCGAGGTTTTTTGGCTTTTCCGGGAAATCCATGAAAGAAACCCGGAATTTTTTTGGCCTATGTTCATCCTCGTAACTTGCTTAACATAATTGCTTTTGGAACTAGTTCTCGATATTGCTTCGTTGAGGAGAAGATACGACTTAAAGCTGCGGACACACATTCATCCATCCATTCATACATCCAGAAATGACGGGTTAATAAACGCAATTCTCCAGAATGGAAATTGCGCTAAAAAATTGTGATACCAATTATCAGTTTGATTACTTGAAATAGGTGCATCACATCCTGCTTGAATACTTCAACTTACTTGCAACAGTAACTTGTTACCTTGTGTAAAGAAAAATAGACTTGAGTCCAGCTATGTAGCAATGCGTAGATGAATGCTTCACAATATCTGATATTACAATGTAACGATGTACACCTCTCACACAAGTGAAATAAAAAACTTCAGGTACGTTGACGAAAATCTTCAGTTGAAGAGATATTTCTTACCCAAATGTAACACTCTAAGTTGAGGTTGCGACACCTGAGTGTTATTGTGAGTTCCATCTTTCAAGAATAGACTCTAGACTGCTATTCATTTTACAACTTTATTTACAACAGCAAAATATACACTTCATTCGGTAATCAAAACATTTCAGGCTCAAACAGTCAACACACACAGCTTCCCCTTGCATTCATCTAGGTGGTTCCCCGAACATCCCATTTACCCCGATTATATAGCCCTACATTCACTCCCTTCAGTCAGTGAGCGATCTACAAAAGCATGCACACTACAGTGATTGGTCGCTCACGCATTCATTCAGATGGCCAGGTATTCAACTCACACACGTTTTACTCCAAATAAAATTCACCAAATACAGTCTGCTTATATATATATATATATATATATATATATATATATATATATATATATAATATATATATATATATATATATATATATATAATATATATATATATATATATAACACATCCTAACACAAAAACCTGCATACGCCACATCTTGAGCTTGATATTCAAACTGCCGTTTATATCTACTTCTACATTGACCGAGCTCAAACTTCTGTTTCTAATTCCTTCTAATCTCGGCAGCATCAATTCAAATCAGCATCACTCCGCTCTACTAGATGTTATGAGGTAATTCGCTTGAAGTTCTTTTGTACTTCAAATTCTAGCAGAATCCTCTTTATGTATTATTTTGCTATTAACAATTATTTAATAAAGAATGTTGCACCAAAGTAACAAGGAACACGATAAATTTGAATGTACAAAATGCATGAGCAACTCCGTTCTGGAAGTAAGCAGATGAATTATTTGGTGTAGAGTCACCAAAGCATCAAACACATTTTGCCCCCCCCCCCCCCAAACTAGTTCACTTTAATGGTAGCGCCGACCCTGATCCTCTTCCATAATAAACCGGGAGTGATCTCCCTAAACTTTCTCGAATATTCTTATATAAAACAACAGGGGATGGGAACTCGGGCTATAGACATGATTTTTAATCCATTTAAATACTTAAAGTTTTAAAAATAGAATAAAATCTCGTAGACAAAAGAATTGCACACCAGTGAACGCCAAATAAAAAAGTGCATAATAGTGCGCAATATTATTAGTACTTTAAAAATTTACATTCGTTTTTTGAGAAATCGGAAATAGCGTAAATTACTACTTCCGGTCAACGAAAATTACTCAAAATTTGACAGAAGGTAGAGAATTAGATCTTTTACTTACAAGTGAAATTTCCGGTTATCGGAAATCGCTCAAAAGTTGATACGGATCTACGATTTTGATAAAATACTTATATATGAAATTTCATCAACCTAGCGGTAACGGTACTCAAGTAATCGTGTTTACACACACACAGACAGACAGACACACAGACATAGGGACAGGATTGCAAAGCATAGTTTTTCAGAATGATTACGCATAAAACCTCTTAATTTTGATAAATCTGGATTGATAATTTTTGCCCGATTAAATAAGTCCTCTATACTTCGGATATGATGAAGGACTGAGGTGTAATACGGTGAAAATTGTTAAAATTTCAAGAGATTTTTTTGCACGATTACAATACTTTCTCTATACTTCGTATATACGAGAAAGTAAAAAAGCGTAACTAAACTCTGACCTTAAATAATAGATTTGATGGAGGACTAGTATAAATTCTAAGGTTTCTGCTTTGGTATCACACTACTAAATGGTGTCACCACACACACACACACACCACACACACATCCGCTTTGTGACTATTTTTTAACGCAATTTCCATACTGGCAAATTGCGTTTAATAATGCGTCATTTCTGGATGGATGTATGGATGTTTGGATGTGTGTCCGCAGCCTTTAAGTCGTATCTCCTCCTCAACGAAGCAATATCGTGGACTAGTTCCAAAGCAAATATGTTAAGCAAGTTCCAAGGATGATTGTGGGCCAAAATAAATCCCGGAATTTCTTCCTGGATTTCCCGGAAAAGCCAAAAGAACTCGAAAAATGCAGTTTTTGGCCCATATCTCGGCAACCAGACAACTTAGCGACTTGAAACATTTACCAATCGATTCCTGCCATAATTTAGACCAATATTGCCGAAGAAAGTTTTCAAAAATATCCTTTCGTTCGGTCACAAAATTGTTTTTAAATTATTTAAACTGAGCATCTTGTAGAACTAGTATGATATTTTAAACTGAGCATCGTGTAGGCTCACTAAAACAAAATATTTCTACCATCCTCATCCCTTCGCGTCTCACCACTAGAAGAAGCGAAGCGGTGAAGTTCCAAACCAAGCACACGGCTGAGGCAGTCGCTAGTGAGAGGTAACGTCTACTTGTTTAAACTGAGCATCGTGTAGGCCTACCGTTGATATAGGTTATTACTGCCATAATTTAGAACAATATTGCCGAAGAAAGTTTTCAAAAATATCCTTTCGTTCGGTCACAAAAAATTAAAAATTGTTTACTTATTAATTCAAACGTTATTTTTGTACCCTATAATCTATTTATAATTTATATGAGAGTGATAGGGAGTTACAATTACAAGGTTTTGTTTACTAAAACATAACACGAGACACCATTACTTATACAAAGCTTCATGATTCA